CCCCAAAACCCCAAAACCCCAAAACCCCAAAACCCCAAATGGGTTAAAAGCTTTGAAAATATATAAATTACACTGAATATGAAGTTTTAGAAACTGGGGCTGTAAACATAGTGATATTTTTTATTTATACCTAACTCCCATTTTATTCACTCAAAATTTACTGAAAAATATTGTAGCTGCCAAATTTCTAAGTTTTCACCAGAAAAAATGCAGGTTCATAGTCCACTTCAAAATAAGTCATATAGCTACTAAAGCTTGAATTTTAGGAAACTTTGTTGTGCTTAGCTAAATAAAAAAGAATTTCCAAGAATTTATAATTAAGTTACTATTTCTACTCCTTCTAGTTGATTCTCTGTAAAGATTTGTTCCGCTTGACTTTTCTTTATTCCACAATCACCAATGTGTACTTCCCTGAGGCTCAACTTTAAATCTGAAGATGATGCTAATCCTTGTATCAAGTTCTTGAGCTCGCTAGGGTTATCTCCCCAATTGCTGTAAGAATAGTTGCCTGTTCCCCACAAATCTATTACCTGAATTTTGCAATTTTGGAGAGCCCTTGAGAAATCGGGAACTTTTGGAATAGACAATTTTCAACTCCAAATATTCAAACCTTCCACATGTCTGTAAGCTGCCACCAATCTCTTCAATTGACGAAGGCTCAGACTGAAAAACTTTAACGTCACTCTTTGGGCTATTTTGGAGCTGATCCTGACCAATGAGTTGAAGCAAGTAGAACTCTTAATTTTCATTCCAACGGAGAGATAAATAGTAAAATCATTAGTTTTATTAGGGAATGAGAAGTCTATGAAATTAAGAATATGCTTAATTTTGCTTTTGCCAGTATCTAATGCGACGTTTCTTATATCGAAAAACTTTAGAAATTTTAATTTTTTAATAAGCTCGATTCATCAAGGATATCCAATAATTATTTGAAGTGAATGGTCAAATCAGTGTACACTAGATTCTGGATCAGGTAACCTAGCTTTAATTTCCCTTGAAAATGTATTGTAGTAAATACAGCAGCATCTCTTGTATTCTTGACTAATGCTTTTGACCAAGATAGATTTCTCTAGACTAAAAATTACAGATGAGCTAAGAAGTCGGATTCTTGGCAGAATTTGGAGTAAAATTGAAGGAAAGACTTTGATGATTCTGGATTCAGGATAAAATACAACTCGGAGTTAGAGAGTTATAAGAAGCATAATAGAGGGATGAACAAGAAGTATCTTGGTAAAGAAATGGTGTTGATTCCTCTTGAACTTGAAGTAGTTGTTTAATGCCTGGGTATTGGAGTGAGGTTTATTAACAGAGTGAGAAATGTGAGTATTAATATGAAATTAAGGTTTCTTTGGAAAAGGAGGGTATTGTTCGATGACACTGAGAGCTTATGGAAATAAATGTTTTGTCTTTGCAGCGTTGTTAATTTAATATTTAAAATAAGAGAATTTTAATGCTCTCAAAGACATAAGTAAGCTCTAAATTTCTCTAAAATAAATCGAAACATCAAATGCTCAGTCTAAATTTCAACAGAAACTCAAAATTTTATTAAATTTACCTGATTATTTTATCATTCTTCTGTTGGACAATTTGGTCTTCCCTTTCCATTTTATTATTATTATTAAATATATTTATTTTCAATATATTTTCAGAGGAGTGGGGTTTTGGGGTTTTGGGGTTTTGGGGTTTTGGGG